AGAATGCCTGACCTTCCCTTAAGGTCGCTGTCATCCTGTTACCATGGTCAATCGTGTCAATGCTGATAGTTACTAACAAGTCAGGATTATACACTGCACTTTTATCGTTATAGTTACGCTGTGGGTGCTGATTACACCCACTGGATGAGAATACATTGGGTAAGGTAAGGCTGTATGAAAGTGAATGTAAATGCAAGGTGATTGTCCGTAAAATTAAAAAACCAGAGCCTCGTCACCTTAAACGAATTAGGGTGAGCACACCCCATATATCTGATTCACTGCTAGACTCTAAAATCAACTTATAAACTAAAAAACTATGCGATTAGAGCTTAAGCCATATAGAAAAACCTTTATTCTCCCTACATCGTTATGCTCTTCTTTCCATCAGAATCCCTTGATATTTTATCATCATTTCTACCTAAGAATAGTGATCTTATTTCCTCTGAGATAGCGTATCATCCACTTGCTCATACCAGGAAAATACTGTTCAGCAACAACCATATTTACTGCCATCTGCTGTATTTGATCACATAGAGCAAGTGGCGCATAAAATTCAAAACTCATGCTGCGGTCCCGCACATACACACGCTTTATAACTAGCAAACTAATATGCCAAAATGTCATTTATTTGCTTCATAGATAAGCACACTCTACTATCATTTTTATTTAGTGAATAATTTTTCCTGTTGAGAAACGAAACAGCTCTTGTGGCGTGAAATATCAAAGAAATTTTATAGAGGAGTATTTCGAATGATCTTTAGGTGTTTCATAAATGGATACGGGAACCTTTCAGCCAAAACATCACTTTTGAAAAGCATGTTGAAGTACTTTCACTTAAACAAGATGTGTCGCTTTCATAAATACAGAATTCGTGAGGCTATGACTATGGTTAAGAGAAATGCCTTGAATATCAAAATAAGTCTCTTTATTTTCAGCGACAAAGCTTAAAGAGAACATGGAACCATTTAAAGATAAACGCCAAGTATTTACTCACTGCTATATGGAAGATATAATTATTGAAAAGGTGATGCACAGCAATCTACATTTTTTGTAATATTCTAATCTGAATAATGCTAAATATATGGGCCTGGCTGCTCAAATAAGAGATTATTTATTGCCTAAACTTCAATATCTGAGACAGTAAGGCAAAGAGATCCTTGAATAAGTAATTTAATGAGATGTATTCACCCTATTTCGTCTAAGGTGATGAATGAGTGGTAGTAGAATTTTCCCACAATGATATGAGTTGAGCTGACGTTTTCCATTGGATTTCACATAGCCTTGC